ATAAATGCCATCAAAATATATTGAATGAAATTTGCAAAACCTCAGTAGGAAAAGGAAAGTTAAAGGTAAGATGAGAAGATTCCCCAGTGGATGAGTAGACGCTTGCAGTGGCCTGAGGAGAAGTACACACAGGGTAGTCCCTGACATCCTGTTTGGGGAGCTGGAAGACTTCAAGAGTCTGCAGAAAACCAAGCAGTAGATAAGATTAGATTAGATTAGATTAGATTAGATAAATTTGGTGGAAGGAGGGTTAGGAAGTGGGGTTGCAGATATGGGAAGTGTGCTAGACCACTTTAGTTGTCAACTTGACACACCTGGGTAGGGGGAATCTAAGTTGAGGAACTGTCCCCCTTGGATTGGCCTGTGGCCATGCCTGTGGGCATTTTCTTGACTGCTGACTGATGTGGGAGGGCCCAGCCCATTGTGGGCAGTGCCACTTCTACATAGGTCGTCTTGTGTTGTATAAGAAAGCAGGCTGAGTGTGGGCCAGGGGAGCAGGCCAGTAAGCAGCATAACTTCATGGTCTGTGCTCCAGGTTCCTGCCCTGAGTTCCTACCTTGGGCTCCCTCGATAATGAACTGTGACCCAGGAGATGTAAGATAAAATGAACTCTTTCCTCCCTAAGTTGGTTTTGGTCAGTGTTTTTATCACAGCAATAGAAAAGGTAACTAAGACAGGAAGGGATCTAAATATGATCAAAATATATTGTATGAAATTCACAAAAAATAAATATATATATTATATGCCTAAAACAAAACAAAAAATAAAATAACCTTCTATAATTTAAAATATTTTATTTATTGTTTTTATTTTATTTTATGTGTATGAGTGTATTGCCTGCATGTAGGTAGGTGCACCCATGTTGTGCCATGCTCACGGAGGTCAGAAGAGGGTGTCAGATTCATGTAACTGGAGTTACAGATGGTTGTTAGCCACCATGTGGGTGCTGGGAATCGAACCCATGTCCTCTGCAAGAGCAGTCAGTGCCTTTAACTGCTGAGACGTTTCTCCAGCCCCACTTCCATCACCTTAGAGGCAGCTTTTTTCTTCAGTACCGGTGATGGAACCCACGGTCCATCAGGCTACACCCACGGCACAGAAGACTTTTCACAAGCCCCAAGAGGAAGCATGCTGCTTTAGTGTGCTTTGTTATTCTTGTAGACTTCTAACCTGTCTCCTCTAGACCTTGAGCCTTTGGGACCAAGAAGTCTTCCTAACTAACCAAATGAGAAAAGCATTTCTCCTCATGGCTTACAAGAAATGTCTGAGAGACATAAAATCTTAGCCACAGGCAACTTGAGCAGTCTTTATTTTTAAAACCAAGTATGTGACCAGTTTGCTAAAAGGGCCTTAGTGAAGAAGCACATGGTTAATTAAATGCCTGCTTAAAACAATGAGCCTATCTTGGGAAGGCATCTCAGCCCCAGTTAAGCATTAGTTGAGTTGGAGATCAGCAGTTTCTGTAACCCTATCATTCTCTCCCAACCTCTTAATCAGATACTTCTCTTCAAGTCAGAATTTTGTAACCTACAGCATAATAGGCTTTGGAATCAGGCAGGTCCAAGCCCCAGGAGATGCTTAAATGCATCAAGCCTCAGTTTGCTTGTGTATATGTAAAATGAGACTCAAAAAGACGTGCTCAGGTCAGCGAGATGGCTCAGCAGGTAAAAGCACTTACTGCATAAACCTGAGGATCTGAGTTCAATCCCCGGAATTCATGATGAAAAGAAAACCAACTCTTAAAATTTGTCTTCTAATCTCCACACAAATTCTCTCTCTCTCTCTCTCTCTCTCTCTCAATAAAATTTAAAAATAAAGAACTCTCTCATGGGTCATGAAGAGGGAAAAATGGCATCATTTGAGTAAAGGAATAAACATGCTGTCTTTTAACATAATTTAGGGAAACCCTTGCACAACAAAAAATATGAGGCTCTTTTCCAAAAATTATTAAGAATTTTAAGATGGTAACATAGGGCAGGGGAGATAGCTCAGTCCATAAAGTGCTTGCCTTTCAAGATATAAGGACCTGAGTTCAATCACTAGAACATAAATTAAAAAAACAAACAAACAAAAAAAACCAGCCAGGCCTGGTGGCATACGTTTGTAATCCCAGCCCTGGCTGGGGAGATAGACACAGATACCTGGGGCTCACTAGACTACATGGCAAGATCCAAGACAGTAAGAGACCCTGTCTCAAAACAAAAGGGTGGACGTTGCCTAGGAAAGAATACCCAAGATTGTATTCTGGCCTCCATATGCGTGCACACAAGTGCACATGCACATGCACGAAGAAGGTAGAAAGAGAACATTCAACCAAAAGTGGAATCTGGGGAACTGCACCAGAGCAGGTACATACCAGAGGCCGTCTCTTTGGGGTAAGGACCATAGCTATCATTATCCCTTACTTAGCATTTTCCCAATTCACAACCTGTCATCTAACTCCTATCCCCAGGTTCTCCTCTCCCTGTACTCAGAAAGTTTTACCAGATCATTCCCAAAACAGGTACCTGCATCCCGGAAGTAGCTGTATTTACAAATAAAATGACTCACCAAGGCAAGGCAACCTAAAACAGAAGATGATGTTACCATAGGTTCACGTCAAAGGTGTCCCACTTTCTGACAACCAGTCAGTGCCCTGGCTTTCCCTGCTGCTCAGCTAAAACTCTCAACTCACCTCTTTCAAATCCCTGTTCAGAGGCTCTGACCATCAGTTCCATCCCATCCTTTGCCCTTCCTCTGCCTTCAGGTCGCTATCCCGGTGACACCTTTCTACTTTGACTTTTTTTTTATAAGGCTGATAGTGTCTAGCTTACTAAACTGCTAACTTCTCTATTACGTTCATCATTTATCCTTTATTTTTTTTCCTACATATTTGCAAACACACACAAAGAACATAAGCTACTCAGGGTTGGGATTTTTTTTTAAATCTATTTTTGTTCATTATGTATTCCAAGTGCTTAGAATAGTGTTTGGCATATGGAAGATACTCAGTAAATATCCAGTGAAAGAATACCTTTGAATGAATATATGATAAAATCAGACAATGGTTTTGTACACATGGGGACTCAGCCCCTCTCCCACCATGGACAATTCACAGTAACAACCAGCTCTGTGCTTGGACATCCAACTGAGCTCATGAAGCAGATGCAAAAAGGGACCTATTTTCTAATGGCTACCAAACCTGCCTCAGTTCACAGGAATCTGATCCAGTTATCTATGTCTCGTTCAGGACTAATTTATAGACTCACACTGCAGTCACTTGCTGCGATAAGAGGTGGCTTTTTGTAGATGTGAACTGTTCCAAAGTGAAACACTTGTCTGGAGAAACTAACAGTCATTTTAAAAGATTGGCAGAAAAATAATCCCACATTACTGCTTTACCACAAGGACACAGAAAACCTGAGTTGTTAATATCAACAGGAATGCAAGGTCTCAAACCCCAAATACATAAAGAGATTCACTGGAGCCAAGCCAAGCTTTCCCTCCTGGAGTCAGTCTCAGGTAGCATCCCAAAGCCCAGCCTGGGACCTCAGTGTGAGACATGGATCTGGCAACAGAGGTGTCTTTGGATTCCATCCCACTCACTAAAAACCAGCCCCAAAACTATGGCTCTGCAGCTGCTGGAGGAGATAGTGATACTGAAGAACAAAAGAGAAAAAGATGCTTTTGCACTTAGGGTCAAGCTGTAGCTCACGCCAGTGGGAACATCTGGAGGCCCCAACAGTCAGAAGATGTTGTGGCTCAGTATGCTCCAGGCTCTTTCCCGAGGACAGGAAGTCTATCTGGGCCCCCAACCCGAAGGCAGCCCACATGGTTTCCTCCGAACAGACAGTGAGCAAAGGCTGGACAATAGGGATTGGGCTCAACATCTGGCTTTTGCCCCAGAGTGAACTGCCACTCCCTCTCAGCCCTACACATGGCTTCTTCTTCTCCTTTTAAAACCAGTCTTTCTCAGCCACCACAAACAAACGCCCCTGTGGGAAGCAGCAGGGAGCCCCCTCCCTTTTCCTTAAATAAAGTCAGCCGGCAGCAAAGGGCAACTAGGTGGAGCCTGCAGGCCATTTTGCAAAAGTTTCAAATATCCTGGTACTGACCCCATTAACCAAGAAGGGAAAGCAGTCAAGCCTCTCCTTTCCTGTTAGTTGGTGCTTTTCTCTCTCTTTCTCTCCCTTTCATTACAAAACTTCCAAGGGATCTTGAACAAAGCCACGTGACTGGCGCTAGCGATCTGAAAAAAAAATTCCTTTTGCAAATTTAATATCAAAAAGTTGAAAGTGACAACTTTAAACGGATTTGCTCTGTGACAGCTGTGTCTCCAAAGAGGTCTCGGAGAGACCAACGGAACTGGTGAGCTGTCCCACCTCCCCCCAAAGCCTCTCTGAAATATTCATCTGCCTCAGATTTTCCGTACTTCTCCCCGTATTTCCTCTGAAGAGGGAGGAAGCGGATTTCTTGGCTGTACAGTTGAAGCAGCCAAATAAAGGGGCCTTCCTCCAGTGTGGAGAAAGGCTTTCCAACACTCATTTTAAGATCTAAACAAGACAGTAAAGGGGCAGAGGAAAGGGGGGAGAGAGAGAGAGAGAGAGAGAGAGAGAGAGAGAGAGAGAGAGAGAGAACGGACGGACGGACGGCAGGAAAATGGTACATTAGCTTACCCACATTTTTGTTTGTTTTTTACAAATCTTCCCACAAAAATCAATACAGAAAACTGGGCGGAGGCGTTATTCTCAAAACACACCCCCCTCCCTAGCATTACAGTACCGTTAGCAATAGGAAATGGAGCTACGTATAGGAAAATGGTATCAATTTCTTTGGAATACAAAAGGTCACTGCTCTGTAGAAAGTTTCAAGGGACCAGCTGAGAGCCTTCATTTTCTCTGATGGAAAATACTTCCCGTCCCCAGACCTTTTGGTACTGCCTCCCAGTTCCCAGGTCTCCAGCTGGTGACAACACAGCCTTTCTTTCCAAAGCCACCCTGTCCGGGCCTCCGGGTCCTCACCGTGTGGTACATGAGGGCCTCGGTGTCCCCGGGCTCTGACAGCTCGCTCAGCTTGCGGTCCCACTGCAGGACGCTCTGCTCCCCGCTCTCCAGCACCTCCATGGTGGTGGGCGCCGCGCTGGGCCGAGGATGCTGAGGAAGGAGGGGGCCCCTCTGAGCCGCCTCCCTCGGTGTGTGCGTGTACGAGCGTGCGAAGGGCTGTGCACTTGGCCAGGACCCCGACAGAGACCCGCAGAGGGTTCCCCGACGCGAGTCCTCGCAGATCAGAGAATCCCGGGGGAAGGGCGTGGGGACAAGCCGTGCTGGGCTCTGACCCGGGGCTGCAGCGGTTAAACCCGGCTGGGCATCCGAAAGGAAGGTAAGAAACCGGCTCGCATCCCAAGAAAATCCTTTCGCAATAAGCCCACTTCCCACGACTGCTCCAGACAAACTTTGAGACTCCCCTGGGTTCTAGAACTCAGCTCCCGGACCCACAAGCAACCCCACCTCCTTCCAGGCCAATGACCAATAGGATACCAGTGTCACCAAACATACCCAATCAGAAGTCTATTTCTCTACCATGTCCCGCCCCCAAAGGTAGAGTCTCGGGAAGACTCCGCCCTGGCCCCGGAATGTGGGCGGGGAACTTCTTTGCCGTCACTGGGGAACGCCTCCCGCCGGAGAGCAGCGGCGGACCAATAGGATGCAAGGGTCTGGAAGTGATGGACTGAGACATAGACCAATGGGAAAGGGGGAGCTGGGAGGGCTAGCCAATCAAGTAGCGACAAGAATACATTTTTATAAAAGAGGGAGGGCACGCACAGTCACCTCCCTGAGAGCTCTAATTTTGCCAGTACGTGCTGTAGGGCAGCGAGATTTGCTGCTGCGGGATTTCCTTAGAGAAACCGGGCAGATTTAAGTGCTGCCCACATTTCCAACTAGATTAAACCGCTTGAGTCTCTCTGGATTTTTAAAGAAATGAATTACATATACGAGAATGTACACGTTACCATTACACATGAATTTGTATTAACATATTTCTATCACACTGTCAGTGTTTGTTTCCTACGTGATTTTATGGGTTTCACTCAGCAGACATTAATTAATAATAATAAGACCCAATGACCTGCTTTTCCAAATCCTGCAGAAAATGAGTTAAAGTTCAATTCATGGGGTTTTGTTGTTTTTTGTCTTGTTTTATTACGTGTGTGTGTGTGTGTGTGTGTGTGTACGCGCGCGCGCGCGTGTCTGTCTGAGGACAAGTTGCGAGAGTCGGTTCTGTCCTACCACCATGTGAGTTCCAAGGATCGAACTAAGATTATCAGGCTTGGAAGCAAGTGCCTTTAACCTGAGTCATCTCTCAGGCCCTTGTTTTGTTTTTGAGACGGGGTTGCATGTAGCCCAGGCTGTCCTCAACCTCACTCTATGGCTAAGGCTGGCCTAGAACTGATCATCCTGCTTCCACCCCCCAGAGCTGGGATTATAGGCATGTGCCACCCATGCCTGGCTCATAGAGCTTTTATTCCCAGTGGAGGTGTCAGGCAATGAGATAAAAAGGAAACATGCAGTGTAAGTCTTGGAAAGCAGCCATTGCTGTCAAGAAAAATAAAAGCAGAATAAGAGGGTGGACAGATGGATGCTATTTCATATACCGGTCAGAGAAGTTCCTTTGGGATGGGTGACATTTGCACACCATCCAGATGGAAGGGTCTTAGGGAAAAGCAGGTATTTTAAAATAAAAAATTTATTATTTTTATTCTATGTGTATGAGTGTATTGCCTGTATATATTTAAGTATACCATCATGTCATGCAATGCCCACAGAGGACAGAAGAGGGCTCAGATCCCCTGAAACTGGAGTTACAGATGGCTGTTAGCTGCCATGTGTAGAGAACCAAACCCAGGTCCTCTACAAGAGTAACCAGTGCCCTTAACCACTGAGCCATCTCTCCGGCTCCAGGAGAAAGCAGGTATTTTGGTGGCTGGCAGGAAGTTGCACCTCCCAGGGAGTGGCGGGAAAAGGCACTGAGAAAAGAGACCACAAACGGCTTGTTCTATGAAGCTTTCCCCAGTGCGATGGTATTTCCTCCTTTTTGGGTTTTCCTTTGATGGCAACAGCCTTTATTTGACTATAGTTTGGCTGTCTTAAATTAAAGGAGACTCAGGGGGGCTGGAGAGATGGCTCAGCAGTTAAGAGCACTGGCTGCTCTTGCAGATGACCCAGGTTCAATTCCCAGCACCCACATGGCAGCTAACAGCTGTCCATAACTCCAGTTCCAAGGGTTCCAACACCCTCTTCTGACCTCCTCAGGTATTGCACAACATGGTTGCACTTACATACATGCAGGCAATACACTCATACACATAAAATAAAATTAATAAAACATTAAATATATATATATATATATATGAGATTCTGTGGCTCTAGATTCTTCTTGCAATGGGACATTCGAGTATTAGGTATTGTTTTGTTCCCTTGAAAGCATTTTGGGGGGGTGCTGGCTGAGGATGGTCAAATGTCTTTAAGCAGAAGTTTTTCATGCAAAAGATTATTTGTCTAAGCTGGGATCTTTGAGATTATTTTAATGTTTAAATAGAAGCTCTTGAGTACACACCTTTCTTACATAATCATTTTCTCTTAAGCCCTTGGATTTTCTTTTCCAATCTCTTAGCTTCCTTCACCACATCTTTTTTGTAAATCACTCTTTCAACCTTAAAAAAAACCTATTTGTGGGCCTGAGAGATGACTCAGCAGTTAAGAGCACTGGCTGCTCTTGCAGAGGATCTGGGTGCAATTCCTAGCACCCACATAGTGGCTAACAACTGTCCATAACTCCAGTTCCAGGGGATCCGACACTCTCTTCTGAGCTCTGTGGGCATTGCACAGCATGGGTACACTTACGTATATGTAGGCAATGCACCCATACACATATAAAAAATAATAACAAATAAAATATTTTAAAAAGCCATTTGTTTTTAGCATAGCATTCAAGTGAAGATAGAAACACATATTCTCCTTGTAGGAGCAGAAACATTTCTCTACCAAACATAACCATCTTCAACAAAGTCTGATCTAGCAATGCCCCGGTGGTAGGCATCTTCCACAATGTCCTCTAGTGGTCCCACTTTCTGGTATCAGAACCCTTGGCTGTATTCCTCCTCTTCAGTGTGGGCAAAAATGAAGGGACATTAAAAAGATGCCTGGCCTGCTTGCTCTTTTCCACTCTTTCTTGCTCGCTGAGGAAAGCCAGCCACCATGCTGTAAGCTGAGAGGCCAGTGTAGCCAGGAACTGAGGCAGGTGCTCAGCTACCAGTCAGGAAACTCCATGAGCAACTGAATGTGCCAAACCTTTGTATGCAGGCCCTCCTCCAGATAAGCCTGCAAAAGGCTACAGCCTGGGAGAAACCCAAGCCACAGCACCCACCTGAGCCCTGCTCAGATTCCCAACTCACAGGTTCTATGAGGTAAGAAATACAGCCAGGTGTAGTGGCATACACCTTTAATCCCAGCACTTGGGAGGCAGAGGCAGGTGGATCTCTGTGAGTTCGAGGCCAGCCTGGTCTACATAGCGAGTTCCAGGATAGCTGGGACTACAGGGAGACCCTGTCTCAAAAAGACCTAGATAAATAAATAAATAAATAAATAAATACAAGGTTTTAAGCCATGAAGTTTTTCCTTTGTATAATAGGTAACATGGCCATCAGCATTATGAATGACTTGGTTAAATTTATGTGTACCTTAATGATAGCATCATAATTTCCCCGCAGTGAATTTTTTCAGCCTTCTTCATTTCATACATGGTTTTTCTTTGACCTGCACACAAGACTTCTTTCTCATCAGCCTATCCCATCTTGAATACTGATGTATTTTCCTTTCCCACTCATTCTCAGGACTAGGCAATACAGTTGAACCTTTTCCCAGCCTCTCTGGCATCCTCTAGAAGCCACTGTGCTTGGTCACTTCTCTGTTATCAATAGGTAACTATCACCTGAATGACTGGAAGGTAAGACTACGTATCATCCCCAAACCAAACCGATGTATGAGCCAATGAGATACTTTTCCAATTCCCCCTGGCATCATTTTGTGCCAAACTATTTGAAAATTTGCTCTCCTTTCTTTTCTTTCATCTTCAGCCACTGAGTTGTATCCAGAATTGGCACCTGACAGATGCCCACGTCATGAGGATAAAATCTACTTTCCAAGTTGACCTAACCCCATTCAGCAGCACTCTTTGTATTTGATTAGCCAGAATACATTTTAATTTATCAAATTTTATCTAAAAGAATTGGTTAAATACCTGGAAAACTCAAGACAACATTTGTGCACATTTGTCTAGGTATAAGAATCTCTTATTGAAATAAATAGGCTCTGTCATCCATCTAGCCTGATGAGAGAAAGAAGATCATGTTCAGTCCAAGACTGAAAACTTGAAAACCAACAAGGAAAAAGTCACATTCCAGCTTCATGTTTCTCAAGCATTCCTGCAGTTAGAGCTGACCTCTGACCTGAAAACAGCCAAGGGCAGTATCACAGCTGCCAAGAAACTGAAGTTGGTGATGTTCAGGAAGATACTGTTTCTTCTTCCATAGCTACAATGTCTTTTTCCCTTTACATTTCTTTATTTATTGTGCACATGTGCATGTTGGGGGGAGCAGTTGTATGTGCTATATGACACATGTGGAGGTCAGAGGACAACTTGCAGGAGACAGTTCCTCCTTCCACCATGTGGGCACTAGAGATCGAACTCAGGTCTTCAGACTTGGTGAAAAGTACCTTTACCTGCTGAGTCATCCCAAAGAGCTCCTCAACTATAATCTTTTCAGGTAATTCACTCTAGCTAGTGATGAATTGGAGTTTAGTGGCAAGCCCATTACCTTTGTTACTTGGAGGAAAGAGAAATTAACCTAAGCCAATATGGAAATGCTGTGCAAAATAATAAGAAAAATAAAAAGCAGCTTGTGAAATGGCTCAGAGGGCAACCAAGCCTGATGACCTGAGTTCAATCCCTGGAACCCATGTGGTAGAAGGAGAGAACTGACTCCTTCAAGTTGTCCTCTGACCTCCACATGTGTACTGTTGCTTGCACACACATAGATAGAGATAGATGATAGATAGATAGATAGATAGATAGATAGATAGATAGATAGATAGATAGATAGATAGATAGATAGATAGATAGATAGATAGATAGATAGATAGATAGATAGATAGATAGATAGATAGATAGATAGATAGATAGATAGATAGATAGATAGATAGATAGATAGATAGATAGATAGATAGATAGATAGATAGATAGATAGATAGATAGATAGATAGATAGATAGATAGATAGATAGATAGATAGATAGATAGAGGATAGATAGATGATAGATAGATAGATGATAGATATTAAGAAGAGGAAGAGGAGAATGAAGAGGAAAAAGAAGAGGGCCATACCCTGACTCTAGTACACAACACAAGCTTGGAAGTCTTGGATTT